AATTAATTGAACTCATCAAAGCTAAGGACGTTTGAACCAGTTTGTCTATAGAGAAAACTGGATCAAATCTGTATAATTTTATTTTAGTAAACGACTTTTTCCCCCTAAAATAGCATATAAATAAACATACGTTCTTTGACTGTTACCACATTTTTTATGGATATTTATTACTACACTTTTTGGTCGATAGGTTTGTTTGTTTGGTTGTAGTTAAGCACAAAACTAAACAATGGGCTATCTGTGCTCTGCCCACCACGGGTATCGAAACCCGGTTTCTAGCGTTGTAAATCCGCAGACATATATTGGAGCCCAGTCGGGAAGGAGTTTTGTTGAAAAATTTTTACATTTCCTGCCGGACCGGATGTGACCTAGTGTGCAGGGCCATAATTTGAAAGTTCCAAGGTTTGAACCCGCGAGATGCCAATGAACACTCTCTGCATTTTCAGCTGTCGGTTCATTATAAAAATAGCATCCAATTCTGCCATATTAAGAGTTGCTGTGTGGATGACAAGGGCTGCTAGTCAGTTGCCCTCTCTCTGATCAGCGATTCTTAATTAGGGACAGTTATGTCTGAACTTTGGGATCCCTGATCTGACCGTCCATTTATCGCATACAGTACGGTTTAGGTTGAAAATTACCAAATACCAAAGGACTGTTGGCAAAATTATTGACCAAAAACAACTACCAGGATTAATATTTAAATTGTAACTCATCAGAATATGTAAAAAAATTGGATTTTTGTTTTAATAAAACTTCAGATAAGTGCAGTCAACAGAAACAAAATGGCGGATATTTTTACATTTTGTCCTGAAAGGGCGATGTTCTGTACAAAAAAAATCTTTGTATTTACAAATATGATTATTATAAAAAAAGACATTTTTATCATATTTGACCACTCTAATATAATATAATGTAAATTACGATTTTAATTGAATATTGGACGGTTTATGGTGCTATTTCTGAAAAAAATCTGCAACACAAAAAAAAAGTAAAGAAATGCCAAAATTTTATCACCATTTCCCATTATACCAAATCCACAGTTCGCCATGACATACCAAAATATAGCAATACAAATTGACGAGGGGTTGAAATACGTGGTTTCAATTTTAAGAAAGCTATGAGGTAAAACAGTCTAGTACTGTGAATATGATATACGAGGTGAATGTGGACCATTGAAAAGTGTTTTCGTATGTATAGCTTTGTCTTATTCTTGTTCATGGTTAAATAAAGCATGAAATGAATTTTGTTTCATGTGGGAGACCTTTTGCGTTATTAAGGTCACCCTGAATAACCTTCTATTATTACGCTACTTCATACGAACCCAGAGGTATCCCAAGATGAAATACGTTAGAGGACATTTAGCAAGAATAATACAAAACCATACAAATGAAAATAGTTCTTACACAGTCCGTATTTACTTCTTATATCATATTCACAATACTACATCATTTTGCTTCCTTACGCTCACATAGGTTTCATTACTCTGATCCCCATATTTTAACCATTCCTCAATTTGTATTACTTAATATTTTGATATATGTCATGAAATAGTAAATGAAAATGTTTAGATTAAAAACTAGCTTGAAACTCAAAACTGTGGGTTTGGCGTTACGATTAATGATGAGAAATTTCTGCCGTGTTTTTTTCCATTAGTCGAGTTTTTCGGTTTTTTTCTAGATGTAACATCTTAAAAAGGCAAAATATTTAAATCATAATCTGCATGAAATTATCTTGTAGTTAAAGAAGTCAAATATGCTAAAATGGTTTTTATAATCATCTTATTTGCACATATAAAAATCCTTTATATATATATATAACAGCGCCCTCTCCAGAGAAAAGAGAGTCCGTCATTTGATTTCTATTTACTCCTTTGATCTGAAATTGATGTTAAAAATGAGATACTTCTTGTATACTAACACTGACGTTTGGTCAATAGTCTTGCCACTTCTCCATTCTTGGTCATTATTCAGGATACATAGTGATACATTGTTTTGTATATTTTATAATAATCATAATACTTTTAAACTCTCTTTCAAAGTATGAACAAAATGTATAATAATACAACATGCATAACAATTTCCGAATAAACGTTTTACGAAACTGTCAACACGAAATATAATGATAAAATATACATAACAATGAACTGAATAAATCCACCCCCGATTACAAACCAAGAAGTTTTAAAATGGTGTGAAAAATCTACGTAACAATGTACTGACTAAATCCTTTCTGAATAGTGATAAGGAAGTATTATGATTATTATAAAATCCACGTAACAATGCCCCGAATAAACTCCATTCTGGTTAGTGATTAAGAAGTATTATGATCATTATAAAATCTACATAACAATGTCCTAAATAAACTCCTTTCTGAATAGTGATTAGGCTCACTCCCGATAATAGAATAAAGCTATTTGTAATGATAAGTAACATAACGATGTTCCAATTTTTTATACATTCCATACACATATATTTCATTATTATTATAACTCTTCCTAATCTATAGTTGGAACATCGTTATGTTACTTATCATTACAAATAGTTTTATTCTATTATCGGGAGTGAGTTTTTATATACATTCCATACACAAATATTTCATTATTATTATAACTCTTCCTAATCTATAGTTGGAACATAACTTGGTATGTTTATTTTTATTATCATTATAAGTTTTATAACATTTCTTGATCATTTGTATATTTATTATCACTATACGTGTAGTTTGGACTTTGTAAAACACGTGAGCATCAAAAGCAGTTAAGTATCCGTTTCCACAGAAACACACGTACGTGACTATCTACACTCTAAGCTTTACGATGAAACATAGTTCACACCGAATGTATATATCGAAACACTCCAACTTTAGTTTGTCACATATAATAAATGTTTTTAAAGACTATGTATTTAATGACACTTAAAACGAAGCTTGTTGCTGTAAATAAGACTAGTTTAGATGGATAATTTTTCAGCCTTGCCTAAGTTAGTGTTAGCATCACATTCCAGTGCAATAAATTCTTGCTTAGTGAACCCTGGGTCGATGGTAGCCTAGTGGCTAGTGTGTCTGGCGTGGGTCTAGCAGTCCAGTGTTCGAAAAGAAATGTCGCTGAACACGTTCCGCACTTTTGGCTGTGGGCACGTTACAAAAGTGACAGTCAATCCCGTTCGTTATTTGGGCAAAGTGTCCACGTACACATAAGGGGCTGCTCAGATTGAAAATACTAATATCAGTAATTTGATGTATAGTATATATAGTAATTTATAAAATGCTGTATTAATTACCGCTAAACAATTTTTATTCTCATACCAATGTTTTACTGGACAAGAATAAAGTAAAAAGAAATTGCAACTGTTTCTCACCTATGAACATTCATCGATAGTCTGCTATACAAGTTCTGTCGTTCTGGTTAAGCTAGCAAGCAAACTTGGTTACAAAGAATCATCACGCTTCACTATAACATGTGCAATTGGCCGTGCATAACAGAGTGAACAGGGCCCTAATGAAGATGCGCAGTTGAGTGGGACGGCACGTGCCGAGAAGAGGACACAGCGCGAGATGACTGATCATCTTTTAGGTTCGCGTGAGAGATGGCGGAGTGCGTCCCATACCTTGATATGGTATGAGCGCTTATTGGCCTTTCTTCACGTGCTTCTGTCATGGTATAATTGTGGGAAAACGTGTAAGTTATGATATGGAAGTGGTTGTTCAGTTCATGTCACAAAGTCATTCTTTCATATCATTTTATTAACATACAGACCTACTTTGTGCTCCTATAATTTAATTGAAGGTGAGCTGACCATTCAGCGATTTAATGGGAAATATAGAAAACAATTAAACAATGCATATCTAAGAATTTAATGCTGAAGAGTTTTCATAAAGATAGAACCCACTACTCAGGGATTTACAGTAACTTACTAATAACATTGAACTTTTCGGACAGCCCCTGTGTTCTGTGGAGCGCTAACAGACAGTGACCACGTGCTCACAACTGACTTTTTCCTTTGCTCATTTCCTGGAAGTCGAAGTGGACGGTAGTAACGACCGGAAGTTGTCATTTCAGTTTGTATTGTTATCATG